GTCAGGATAGCATGTTGATAGGTCTATCTTATATAATGTAGGTGTTTGGCGAGCCATGCTCTCACCCTATCAGCAGATTCTTTCTATTTCCTCCTGCTATTTCCAAGTGGGCTTATTTATGAAAATTTGTTATGCCATATGTGTTTCCTTTGTTGAGTCGGTATGATCTATGTATGAGTGTGGAATATGTAGCCTATCAATGTGAGCTGTTACGACCGTCGGTACGGTTGTCCCCGTCGAGTTACGGTACGGTTGCCCTTGCGAGGCAAGTCTCCTTAAGTCCTGATATGGCCGTGCCCTTGTGAGATACGTAAGCCCATATGGAAGGCCATGTCCGTTATAGTGGCTCGTACTCCTGCCTTCGGGTGAATCCCCGTTCTGCGGCTAGCGATAGATGTGCACAAGAGTAAGGTTTTTTGTGGTGATAGGAGATGAGACATGTTGTTATTATTTTGTATTCATGCTACGACCATTCCATCTTAACATGTTATTATTGTATATGTGCATAGTGGTGAGCACTACGCTTCATTTTGTGCTCACTCCCACCTGCTCTTCACGGATGTAGGTTAAGCAGGTGTCGGGTGACGAGGAAAGGATGAGTTGGTCGGTCTAATTAACATGCTTTATTTATTCTTCCGCTTTTCGAATAATTGCATGGTCTTATTGAACCTTGTTTTGGGTTAAGACATGATGAAATGTTTTTGAAACTCAGGTTTTGAGATTTTTGGATTTGGAATATTTGATGAACCTATTTTGGATTGGTTATCATGTTGTCTTGTTTATTCATGCTATTGTGTTTTGAGATGAATAACATGTGATTGAATCGGCTAATGAAAACCATGTGAAAATCGGGTAATGAATCCCCGTGCGACCAAATATGACTTGGTCGATGTAAATATTTTGAAAAATGCCCATGTTTTCGAAAATGAGTTCAAAAAATATTGTACTGATTTTGGGAAAGCCCGAATTTCTTTAAAATCAAAGTGGGGTGTTACACCCAGTTCGTCGGGTTGATGACGTCCACGAAATGAGGTCAGGAGGGATTAATATGTTTAACCTTGCAGGCAGATTAGTTTCCGACATAATAATAAAGAACTGAGTGGTACTAGTTTCAGATATAAAAGTTGATTAATTATATTGTCAGCAATTAAATTCATCAACAAATGTTATATCTTAAACATTGGGAGGTAATTCGAGAAATTAGTTGGGAGAAGAATTATTCGAAATTCAAAGGTAAATAAGGAGTGCAATAATATTAATATAGCAGAATGTTCTATTGTCCAAGTGTGAACATGAAATTTGATCAGACCCGTTAAGAGTGTTCACATTTGGGAGCCCATATTAAGCACCTCCGTAGGGTCTCTGTTATAGCTTATAAATACACCAAGTCCTGAGCCTCTGCCACTTATTATTCCACACGATCAAAGTCTCAATTATTGAGATAAATTTCATTGAGAGTTCCGTTTAGTCGCACCACCAAGATTACTTAGCGTAGATGTAAAGGTCATAAAACAGAAGAAGTTAAAACTTGGAGAGGACGATCACCGTCAAAAAAGAATACATAGGATCGACCGCCATAGCCAGCCACAACCAGACACAACCACTGGACTATCACTGTACTGCCACCGCCGATGCTGCACTGCAGCGCCCAATGCACACATCACAGCCCCGCGCGACGCATGTTCGCAGTCGCAACTGCGACATGCACGTATGTGAAGCAACCACATATGTGTGACGCCATCACTAGATAGGTGCACGTAGAGACACACCATGAGCCACACACACAGAACGACGCCACGTGAGGCCACACTCGGTGATCCGGACACGACCAATTATCCCGACGATGCAACCTAACGATTTGATGATGAGCAACATAGAATGTGGGCTTAAGGAAGTGTCTGAAAACCATTCGTCCAACCCTATAGGCTGTGTAAGTCGTCTCATAGTCGAAAATTTTTTAAACCGTAAGTCCTAATTCTATCTATAGATTTTACCGCGTTAGGATTTATTTTGACAGATTGGGATGTGCATATCGATGATGTTTCTCATAGAACTCAACAAATCTTGCAATACCTTGACGATGGCATTACGCTACATCTGGGAATACCTCCTTTGGGCAACTATGCAAAAGCTATTGATGAAAAATATGAATACGAAGTTATGCATAAATAAACAAAGCAAGTCAGAGCTACCTAGGTAAAAACTAGTGGATCCCCGGCGATTTTGAACTGAATCTGGTTCCATTGTGGATATGGTCGTCCCAACGTTTGGACGTTTTTGGGTTTTTGCATTGGATAAGAAACTCATTGATCCAGCCAGGGAGGGAGTAAAAATTATATATATAATTGCTGGCAAATCATTTACTAAAACATATTTAATAAAATCTCTATCTGTTTCCCTCCAAATGGCGTTACAATTCTATTTATTATCTCTTTCTCTCTCTCTCTCTCTCTCTCTCTCTCTCTCTCTC